GAGAGCTTAGCCGCCGTTCTGCAGCGTCGCGACTGGGAAAACCCCAATATATTACTTGCTGAAATACTTCGAACGTTGAATACAGTTTTGTTGAAAAAATGCCAAAAAATGTAAAAGACTTTCGGAACAACCTAATATTTTCATTAAGAATGGTTCGACAGATTTTTTGAAAACTTTCAAAAACCTTCAAATTTGACAAAATTCAGTAGATTTTTTAGAAAATCTATCAGGGCTTTTATTTTTGGGCCAAATCCGACGTTTTTTAGATCATTTGATTTGTTTTCAAATTCCCTACAATTTATACTTATTTTGAAAAAAAAATTTTAGACCCAGAATTTTTTAATGCCAAAAAAGCTGATTTTCCCCTGTATCGAGAAAAGCGCCAATAAATCAGAAAAAAATCAGAAACACTCGATTTCCAATATTATTCGCCGTGCAATCACAAAAATAACCAGAAAATAAAGAATTAGAGAGAAGAATTGCATTTTTGGTTTTCCGATAGATTTTCTCCGATTTTTATAGGAGTTTGATTTTTATGATTTGTCATGTGCAAACTTTTTTCTTCTACCCACACAATTCTTTTTTAAGTTTCGAACTTCAATTTTCAAGATTAATCTGAAATCTACTGGAATCCTTGGTCTTTATAGCTAGTAATGGTCCAGGAGTACGGGGATATTTTGAATTCCACGGGGAAAATTGGAAGAAAGAAAAATTTCGGGGGTACGATGAATTCGAACTTTCCCGTAATCGAACTGTCCCGAAATCGAACTCGTTCGAATTCGNNCTGTCCCTTNTTCGNCCNCGCCCAGNCCCCCCCCCCCCCCCCGAATTGAGGATTTAAAAACAAAAATAAGAACTCGGAAAATTTAGAATTATTCATAGGAATTCATGAAATATCTGGAAATTTGTATTTTCCAAAAATGCCTAAATTCTGGAAAAAAAAAGAAAAAAAAAGAAAGAGTTCAATTTCTTGAAATGGAGAACCTGAACATCTGAAAATTAAGAAAAGTGAACATTTCGAATATTTTCGAAAATCTGAGAGTTTTTGAAAATTCGAATCTTTGGGAATTCAAAAATCTTCAAAGTGGTAGACGTTTTAAATTTTGGGATTAAGAAGTCTAACAATTCCGTAGTTTTCGAGAAAACTGAAATTTTGATTTTCGGAAATTTGAAAATTCGAAAAAAGTTGAAATCTGAACTTTTTAGAAACTTTGAAATGCCATAAATTTTTCAATGTTTTAATTCAAAAATTCGGAAAATCTTGAAACGAGAAAATCGGAAACAAATTCTAGAAATGACACAATTCTGAAAAAAATTAAAAAATTAAAAAAACCTGAAAACAGAAAAATTTTCAAAGTTTCAAAAAAAATTTGCAAAAGTATAGACTTTGAAAATTTGATTGTGAGATTCAAAAAATTCTGAAATTTCGAAATTTTCGAAAGCCAGAGTTTTGAAAATCGGAAAATCCGAAAATTTGTTGAAATTAGAAACATTGCGAATTCAATTTTTTTCAAAATTCAGGATTGTAAAATTTTTGGAATTTGAGAATTTCGAAAATTTTAAATCCAGAAACTCCAATTTTTAGCAAACCCAATATTCAAAAAATCCTGGAATCTGAAATTCGCGAATTTCTGAAAATTAAAAAATTGAAACTTTATTCAGCTAAACGGTTTTTTTTCCATCAAATTCAAAACCCAAAATTCGCCAAAATCGTTGGATTTTTCTCCAAAAAATCAGAGACCAATTCGGATTTTGAAGTGGAATCCGAAGCAGAGAGTTTTTGAACAATTTTCACCAATTCTGGAGATTTTGAAGAATTCGAATTTCCAGAAGTTTCCTGAAAATAAGCTTTTGTTGAAGGGGAAAAACATTTTTTCTCACCTTTATAGATCCCAAAAATGTGATCAAACTTTCTGGAACCGATGCCAAATTCTGAATTCCAAGCTTTTCCAATAATTGACCAACTGTGAATTCCTGTGGCAAATGTGGAAGAATATCCAGAATTATCCTTCTCAGATCGGAAGATTCGTTTAAAAACGATGCTCCGTATTCCAAAATCGTCGAGTTTAGAGTGGAATTCAGGAGATTCTGAATGACGTCGTCATCGGATTCAGAAAACGTGACGTGGGATTTGAAGAAATTGAGGGCTTCATCGAAATGATTTTTTGAAGAATCTTCCAGGACGGTTTCGTTGATTTCAGAAAGGAATTTTGAAATTTCAAGATTTTGAATCGAAGGATTCGTGACGTCTTCAGAATCTTCGCAGTTGAAAATAGTCACTCCATCGACTGTGACAAGGTTTCCAGAAGTGCCACAATTCTTTGAATTTGTAGTTTTTGGGGTTTCTGAAGGCGTGACGTCTTCTGGAGGTTCTCGTAAACTAGTGACGTCTTCTGAATCATCGTTACCTTTCAATTTTGGGGTTTCTGAGCTTCTGGAAAAATCGACTTCTTCTGAATCTTCTCTCTTTTCGATTTTCGGATTTTTGGAACTTCTTGAAGGTGTGACGTCTTCCGCAGTCTCTCCAGAGTCTGGTACATCTTCTGAATTATCGTTTCTTCTGGATTTCGGAGTTTTAAGGTTTTCTGATGGCGTGACATCTTCTAAAGCTTCTTCAGATACTTTTACATCATTCTCTTCGTCGTTATTTGAAATTTTGGAATTTCCAGAAGCCGTGACGACTTCTGAATCTTCAAGTTTTCTGAAATCCAATTTTCTCAAATTTCCAGACAGCGTGACTTCTTCTACAACTTCTCCAGAATCAGTGACGTCTTCTGAATCCTCGTTTCTTCTGGATTTTGAAGTTTTGAGGGTTTCTGACAGCTTTACGTCTTCTAAAAGTTCTCCAGAACCTTCTGAATTATTGTTTTTGTCGAATTTCGGGTTTTTGAAATTTCCTGACGGCGTCACGTCTCCTGAACCTCCTCTTCTGTTGATCTCTGGATTTTTTAGGATTTTCGTAGATATGACGTCTTCTGAATTTTTAAGTCTTCCGAATTCCAGGTTTTTGAAATTCCCTGACAGCGTTGCATCTTCCGGAGCTGCTCCAGAACCAGTGACGTCTCCTGAATCATCGTTTCCTCTGAATTTTGAGTTCCTGACGTCTTCTGGATATGCTGAACCTTCCTTTTCTCCTTCTTCGCTTATTCCTTCCAGAATCTTTTCAATTTTATCTCCTCTTTTTTCCATAATTCTCCTGACGTCTTCTGAATTTGCAGGCAGCGTCACTTCTTCATAATCCGGTTCCGGCGTCCTTCTGAATCTCGAAATTCCGCCAAAGAGTGCTCCAAACTGCTTTTCAGGGCTCATATTATCTTTTAAAACCTCTCCAATAGTTTCCCCAATCACTGAATTGTATTGATTTTCTGTGATATTCAAATGGGAAAGACACCAATTTTCAGACAAATCTGAAAATGAGCAAATCTGGAATTTGGTGCATCCGATTGAGCCGATGGTTTGGCTGGAGAGAGATTTGAGGAGACCCAGTGAATCCATAGAGATATTGAAGCAGGATAAGAGTTGGAGAGGCGAGAATTTTCGGGATTTTGAAGGGTTACTGTAGCTTGAAGGGGTACTGTAGCTTGAAGGAGTACTGTAGCTCGGAGGGTTACTGTAGCTTTGAGGTGTATTGTAGTTCTCCGCAATAGGTGGTGTGGTAGAATTATCCTGCTCATGAGTGCTCATCTGGAGAAGTTGGGAGTGGTAGACCTGAAATTTATCTTTCCATTTTTTTGATTTCAATTAACCGCCCGCCGACAAAAAGAGCCACACACTTAAGCGCAATTCCCACCCTCTGTTGTTGCGGGCTGCGTGGTGTCAAGGATGTGTGTGGGGACGCTATGCGAGGTCAGGGGTTCAATCCCTCTGTAGGGGTTTTCGTTTGTTTTTTGTTTTTTGAAAGTTCCTCACCTCAACTTTCCGTTTTGTCTCTCCTTCTGGCAAAAAATCCACTAGATTTTGAAGACGATTGCTCAAAGAATTTGCGACAGATTTTAGTGAAATATCCATTTGTTGAACAGTTTTTTGCTGGAAAAAGCAATAAACTTTTTTTTGGAATTTTCCAGAATTTCCAAAAAAACCTTTTGAATTTCCTGAATCAAATCTTCAACTTCTTCAATTGTAGCCGTTGAAATGTTTACGAAAGTTGGGCAGTTTGGATATGGAGGAAGTAAATCTTCATTGGATATTGGGATTTCCAAGGAGGGTCCTGGAATTTCCAGAATTTCAGAATTTTTGAATTTTGGAATTTTTTAAATTCTAAAGAAAATTCCAAAATTTAAAAACTCTGAAATTAAAAAAAAACCTGGAAAACACGGCATTGCTTTTCTGTAGTCTGAAATTTTAGATGACGTGGCAATTTGAGAAGACGTGAGGTTCTCCCAGGCATGGAATAGCTGGAAAATGAAGCTACAGTAATTCTAGAGTGCTACAGTAACCTTACAGAAGCGTCTACCATATTACTACAGACAACTACAACAATATTTCAAAGCTCCCGTAACCCAGTTGAGCTACAGTATCTACCGTAACCTCCATCTACAGTAATCCCCACCTGAACCACATCCGATTTTGACAGAACTTCCCCATTCGTATCAATGGAGCATAATGGTTCCAGAACGTCTCCGAATAAAAATTTCCGATTGGAATTCACCGAAACAGTATACCCATTCACTGGAAATCTGACATTTTGGAATTTTATTCAGATTTTTGTATTCAAAACTAAAATTTTTTTTTCAATTCTGACTTTTTTTCATACTCTCTGCTTCAATATATTCCAAAATTTTCAGATTTTTTTTCCAGATTTTCATATTCAATTTTTCTTAAAATTTACCATCGAAAAGTAGAAGAAGAAGAAGAAAAATAGAAAAAATTCGGGTCATTTTTTCAAAAAAAAAAATCGAAAAGAATGGAAATTTTTTGTTTGTATGCTTCGGGGTTCTTTCTTTTTCCGACTCGTTGCCATTGGAGTTTCCTAGGTGATGAGCCACAAAAAAATGAAAGAAGAAGGGAAAGTTTAGTGTAGTTTGGCCTTTTTTGGGAGAAAAACTGAATGAGAAAGAGAAGAACATTAAGAAAAAAGTCGGAAGATAATCTGAAAATTTAGTGTTTTAATGGAAGTTTTATGAAATTAAAGGAGGCGAGACAGCAAATCGGGGGACAGTTCGGGGGACGAAATCGCGCCGCGCTTATGTAGACCATCGGTCGTCAGGCGCCTTCGCGCCCCCGTAGCTCAGCCGGTAGCGGCGCTGTACCCCTGAGCTGCCTGTCATGAGTTCAACCCCTCATGGGGGTTCTCTATGCAAAATATCAGGAAAACTTTTTTTTTTGGTGTCTGGCCACCTTTAAGGGATTGCTGTAGATTATTAAAATGTATCAAATTTAAAATAAAAATTGAATTGGGATTTCCAAGTAGAAACCTTAAATTTCCAGATATTCAGAAATTTGCAATTTTAGAATTTTAGAATTTCTGACAAAAATTCAAAAATTCAAAAATTCAAAAATTCAAAAATTCAAAAATTCAAAAATTCAAAAATTCAAAAATTCAAAAATTCAAAAATTCAAAATTCAAAAATTCAGGAATTCAAAAATTCTAAAATTCTAAAAATCTAAAATTCTAAAAATCTCAAAATCTCAAAAATATTAAAACTACAGTATCTCACTTCATTCTTGACAGAATTAAACAAAATTTAGACTTTAAGAATTCTCAGATTTTCAGCTTTAAAATGAATTTCGGATTTTCAGAACCTTGGAATTTCGAATTTACTAAATTTTTTAATCTCTGAACCCCAATCAAATATTCAAAAGTTCGAAAATTCAGAAAAAATTCTATTTGATAGTCATAGAAACAGAATTTATCACTCCATTGTTCGGTTTTATAATTATTTTAGGATCATAAAACTTTCAAACACTTCCATTTTTCTGTTTTGAAAGTATATTCTTGATTTGGTGTCTTTATTCCTGAAAGTTTACTTAATTTTGCTTTTTTTTTAATTTCTGCTTCTCAAAATTCAAGTTCGCACGTTTTTACATCGTTAACACGTCCGATGCGCAGGATTCTACGACAATCCGGGAAGTTAAAATTATTTTTCTAGAATTCAAACTCGCGCGCTTTACATTGCCATCGCGTCCAATGCGCAGGATTCTACGACACTTGCGAGAAATTCATTTTTGATATTTTTTTCTCAAATTTTTCTGCGAAAAAGAGAAAAATCACTTGTTCACTTGGGTTCAAGCGAGGGGGTCAGAAAGCGCGCCCCAGTAAATTTACGAAAAATTCTAAATTCGCTGCCGAATTTCGTTGGCTGAGTTTCACAGTTTTAAATGAAGAGCGAAAAAGCGCGCCTTGCAACCAGTTGATTTTGAAGAAATAGATCATGATCTAGATCAAACCCGCGTCCACTTTAAAGTTATTAAATTTCTTCTGGGCTACGAGTTTGCTGGGGCGCGCTTTCTGACCCCCTCGCTTGAACCCAAGTGCTTGTTTGAACGAATAAAAACCGAATAAATGATTTTTTTTTCGATTTTTGCTATTTTTGCAGATTAATTTTCGACATTAATCGATCAAAAGTCTCCATCAATTTGTGTCTCCTCCCTGTCATCAATTTCTTCATTTTTTGTTCAATTTTTTCCATTATGACATGTGCCATCTTTGTGTCATTCTTCGTCTCTTCTCCCCGCCCATATATCCATTTTCCATCATTTTTCTTCAAAATTTCTGCCAAGTTTCAATTTTCATTGCCTTCAATCTTGTGTGTGTGCTCTAGAACTGTGTCTGTGTTTGTTCAGCGAATTTTTACTTTCTACACACAGAGACGCCATTCGAAGAACGTTTTTCTAGTTTTATAGTGTCTGAAAACTCGTATAATTCGGAAAAAATCATGAAGTTTGAATTCCCGCGCTTTGAGTGCAGTGCTCATCTCGTCCAGAATTTCAGTTTTTTCATGTGAAAAGTATAAAAAATTCAGGAATTTCAAAAAAATCTTTTTTTTCAGGAAAATTCCATCGTTTGAAAATCTGAATTTCGGCCCAAAAATCGAAAAAAAATTTTCGATTTTTTTTAGAATTTCGGGATTTTTTTTCAGGATAAAGTGACATTTTACTATATTCCATGCTGTTTCGTGTGGTGTTCTTATAAAAAATTTGCCAAAATTCGATAACTTTTGAATTTCCGCGCTTTTGAGTCTTCACCTCGTCCGATGCGCATGATCTTACGCGCATTATTTTTAAAATAATACCAGGACAAACTTGTAAAATTCCGGGCCGGCCCGCCAAAGCCCGTGCGCGGGCCGGGCCTGAGGAAATTTTCAAGGCCCGGGCCCGGCCCGGAAGGCCCGGTGGCAAAAATTCTGTATTTTTGAGCCAAATTTTGAGCTTTCAATATAATTTTTTCTATTTTTTTTTGTATTTCGGATTGTTTGTCTGTCTGATCAAAAAAGATCGAAAAAACTCAAAAAAAATTTTTTTGGTCGAAAAAAATCACATAAGGGTCCCCACTTGGG